AGAGCTCCCTATGCCATTTCATTAGAGAGGATTTTCCTATCATCCTATTTAAAATGGCAGCCTGTCACTTACTCTGTCTTATTTTTCTTCCTAGCACCTACCACTTTTTGACATTTTCCTATGTATCTTGTTTCCTATCGTCTGTTTCCTCAGTAAACTGTAATCTCTCTGAGGGCAGGGTGCACTGTGGTCATCATGGCTGTATCCCTAGCTCCTGTGACAGTGCCTGGCTCACAAGAGACGTTCAATATATTCATTCAATGAATCTTTGCATGGCGGGGTCCTCATCACTCAAGTGTCAGGATAAATGTCACCTCATCAGACAAGTTGTCTCTGACTTCTGGTCAGAGGCAGCATCACTTCCATCCTCCCTTTCATCGCTGTGGCCCTGTCTCTCTCTAAGGCTATTATTTTCTTCTTAGCACTTATAATTCTCTGAAATGGTTTTATTTAATTAGTTAGTTTATAGGCATACCTTATTTTATTCCGCTTTGCTTTACAGGGCTTCACAGACACTGCAGTTTTTGTTTTTTCTTACAAGTTGAAAGTTTATGACAACCCTGCATAAAGCAAGTCTACTGGCATCATTTTTCCAACAGCAGGTGCTCACTTCCTGTCTCTGTATCACAGTTTGATAATTCTCACAATATTTCAAACTTTTTCATAATGCTATTGCACACTTAGGAGCTCTGGTAGCATAGTGCCTAAGGCACTTGACTGCTAACCAGAAGGCTGGCGGTTCAAACCCACCAGCCACTCCTCGTTAGGAAGGTTGGGCAATCCTACTTCTGTAGTGATACTGCCTCGGAAACCCAAGGAGGGGTCGCTATGAGTCGGGGCCGACTTGACAGCACATAACAACAACAACATTGCACACTTAACAGTCTACTGTATAGTGTAAACATAACTTGTATACACACTAGAAAACCGAAAAATTCATGTGGCTCACTTTACTGCACAATTGCTTTATTGGTGGTCTGGAATCGAACCTGCAATATCTCTGAGGTATGCCTGTACTTGCCCACACCTGTCTCCAATACACGCTGCATGAGAGCAGGGACCTTGACTGTTGTGTTCACTTCCCAGTCTCCATGCCTAAAATAGCACCTGGCACCTTCAGCCAATGGCTGTTGGAGGAATAATGAGGCACGGACTGAAGAGGAAGTTGCAGGAACAAGTCCAGCTCTTTTCAACACTCACTCACCTTTGGCACACAGGAACCCACAGCGTTAGGAATATGTCCTTCATCGGGAGGCTTCTCACCAGATGGCGTCCCTGCTTCTGATGGTGTCAACAAGGAAATGCTCTGACTCTCGTTCTTCTCTAGTAGATTTTCAGCGGGTTCCAGGAAAATGCTCACAGTGTTGCCTTCAAATGAAATTTGGTGTTCTCCTTTCTTCAACACTCTCTCCTTAGCTGTGGAAGACAGATTAATCACACACACACATACACAGAGAGAGAGAGAGAGAGAGGGAGAGATTGCGAAATGGGAGAGATACCAAGTACTCCTCTCAATTCATGCATCAGTGCTCTGTCATCCTACTTACTATGGCAGCCTGTCACTTACTCTACTTTATTTTTCTTCCTAGCACTTACATATTCAGACCTTTTCCTATGTATCTGTTTCCCTAGTAAACTATAATCTCCCTGCATCCTGGTGTGGAGGGCTGGTGAGTAGGAACTTGGGGGGAGATCTTGAGAACTCTTAAGTGGGCAGCTTAAAGTTACTGTAGAAATGAAAGCTTAATGATAATGGGATATCATCAACTCATAAAGTCATGTTTCAGAAACTGGGTCTCCAGTTTCCCATTTCAATGATATGGAACAATACTCACTTATCAAGTAAAGTGAAAAAAGCAGGAAACAATAGTGTAGAAGAATTTTGTAAATAGACATATGTTTGCACACATTCATAGAAAAGGGCGGGAAGGAAGTACTCCCAACCGTTTACACTGCTTATCTCCAGGTGGTAGGACTAAAACATGGCTTTGGTTTTCCTCTTTTCCTTTGAACCTGACTCACAGCGACCCCTCCTTAGGTTTCCGAGGCAGTATCTCTATGGAAGTAGATTGCCCAATCTTCTTTCTGAGGAGTGGCTGGTGGGTTTCAACCACCAGCCTTCTGGTTAGTAGTCAAATGCTTTAGGCACTATGCCACTAGAGGTCCCTCTCTTTTCTATACTGTTACTGTTAGGTGCCATCAAGTTGGACCCAACTCATAGTTACCCCTTCTTGGGTTTCTGAAGCAGTATCACTACAGAAGTAGATTGCCCAACCTTCCTTCCGAGGAGTGGCTGGTGGGTTTGAACCCCCAGTCTCCTGATTAGCAGTCAAGTGCTTTAGGCACTATGCTACCAGAGCTCTTTTCTATAGTGTGCACATATTATTTTTGTGATCCTCAAAAATACATCAATGAAATCATAGATAAGATTATTATCTATTACTAATGACAATTTTGGGAGCCCTGGTAGCATAGTGGCTAAGGCACCTGACTGCTAACCAGAAGGCTGGCGGTTCAAACCCACCAGCCACTCCTCGGAAGGAAGATGGGGCAATCTACTTCCGTAGTGACACTGCCTCGGAAACCCAAGGAGGGGTCGCTATGAGTCGGGTCTGACTCGACGGCATATAACAACAACAACAATGACAATTTTATTTTCTTTTTGTCACATTAAGTCTTTGCAATCCAGTGTGCATTCCATTTTCAAGTGGAAAGGCTGACATGGGGGTGGAGTGGGAAATGGGTTCTTCAATGAGAGCTGAGAAATCCAAGGCGAGTCAGGATGAGGATATTGGCAAGCATCAACGTTAAGGCGTGGTCAAATCAGACCCCACACTGGGCACATTTGGGGCTCTCTCCCAGGCTCTCCAGCTGAGTCTTTTGGAAGCAGAAGTCCCCAGTTGGTGTACCACACAGACAAGTGCCATACTTTTTCCCGCCCTCTCTCCTGGGTCAGCGTGAACCCGTGGGGCTGGATAGCCTTTGCACCCCCAACCCAAGCCGGATCCCTGCTGCCCACAGCTCACCTGCCCTTTCTTTGAACTCCACCTGGAAGGTGTCCGGGGCGCGGTCGCCCAGGGCCCGGACCGTGCACTCGCCGCCGTCGGACCGCCGGCTCTGGAAGTAGATCTCCAGTTTCCTGCACAGGCGGGGTTCGGCCTTGGACACGCGCGCGAGGAGAGGGGACGGCGGGCTGGGCGCCGAGGCCATGGCTCTGCGGTAGGTTTACGCGGGGTTCCGGACGCAAGTGGGGCCGGTATGAGGCAAAGGCGAGTCCCGCCCAGCCGACTTACCCCTCAAGGTTTCAGTTTCGCTTTCCCAAAGACCCCTCCCTGTTCCCGGCAGAGCCGCTGCTTCCTCCTCTTTTTCTTGTCTCCACTGTGGCCATCAGCGGGGTGAGTAAGTCCCTGGGTCGGTGAGAAATGGAAGGAGAAGGTTTCTTGTGACTATGGGGTAGGGACTTTGGTAGGGGCGGGTGAAAAGAGTCCCTGGGCCAGGCCTTCCCTGCCAGGAGGATGTAAACTGGTCCGATGACTATATCAGATAAGAGAAAGTTTCTCCGGGGTTGGTTATTCTTTTAAACTCTTGTTATTATCACTATTATTTGCAGCTAAAATGTAATTCACATTCTGAACTCAGATTTTAAAAAAGTATATAATTTTGTGAAATGTAATTTATTGACATATTTTTATGACATGGTACCTGTTACCTCCGTCTACCTTTTCCATTAAGGGCTGTTGGGGTTTTTCCGCCCTCTTTTCCTCATTTGGCCAATGGTACTGAACTGCTTGCTACTGTGTGTACTGGGAGTAAAGATGAGAGAGAAGGCCCTGACCTTAAGGGCCTGTAAAGGGCAGCAGACTTCTGAATAAAGAATTACAATCTCTTGAAGGCCTCCAAGAGGAAGCTTCAAGCAGAATCTTAATAAGGGGAATGAAGGTGGGAGGGGGAGGGAGGAGTGTGGAGCCGGCAGGGGGCTTGTGAGGCACAGGGAGCACTCCAGGCTGGGAGCAGATGAAATGGGACAGGGAGGAGGGATCTATAGGAGTGCCACCCAACAAAATATAATGGAAGTTGTAAATGCCACCCACATTGGTGATTTAAAGTATTTTACTGGCTATAGTTTAAAACATAAACAGGTGAAAATAAGTTTAATTATGTGTTTTGTAACTCAGTATATCCAAACTGTATTCATTTCAACATGTAGTTGATGTTAAAAACTTATTAATAAAAAATTTTACTTTCTTTTTGTCATACTAAGTCTTTACAATCCAGTGTGCATCAGACATCTCAATTTGTACCCACCACCTTCCAACGCTCTATAGTTATATGTGCCTAGTGGCACGTTGGACAGCACAGACCCAGAGGGTGAAAGGTCTTAAAGGTCAGTGGGGAGAAATTGAAGGATTGTGAGCAGGGGAAGCAGGAGAGTGGCATGGCAGATTTGCAGTTTAGAAAGCTAGTACTGACAAAAACGTGGAGGATGCATTTCCAAGCAGGTATTAATGGAGGCAGAGGGGCCAGAAATAAGGATTTTACATATTGTAAGACTAGCAGTTGGTCAGTCTTTGCAGAGGGCAATTTGGCAGTACTACCATTATTATAATTGCATATACCTACGGTTCTGCAGTTCTGTTTGTAGGAATTTGCCCATTAATGTATTAGTCAGGTGAAGGGACCTATGTATAAGCTTGTTCTATACAGCCTTGTTTATAATAGCAATAATAAAAGTTTGGGAAACCCCTCAATGACCATAAGTAAGGCTGTTGTTATGTGCCGTCAAGTCGGACTCCACTCATAGCAACCCCTCCTTGGGTTTCCGAGGTGGTATCACTACGGAAGTAGATTGCCCAACCGTCCTTCCGAGGAGTGACTAGTGTATTTGAACCGCCAGCCTTCTGGTTAGCAGTCAAGTGCCTTAGGCAGTATGGTCTGAAGATTTGTTGTTGTTGTTGTTGTTATGTGCCGTTGAGTCGGTCGAAGATTAGGGGGGAAAAAAAGCGCAACAACATCTAAAGCAAAAGGCTACCAGGAGCCCACAGCCAAAGCAGAAACAGAAGTCTTCCTTCTTTGGTGACAGCAGCAGCGCCCTCTGGTAGCAAATATGCCTCTTCTCTTTGGATTGTACTGGACCTGCTGCTTTTCCTCAGCACCCAAGAATAATAATGTTCTGATGGAGTCCTGATGGCACAGTAGCTAAAGCATTCAACTGCTAACCAAATTGTTGGCGGTTCGAACCCACCAGCTCTGCAGGAGAAAGATGTGGCAGTCTACTTCTGTAAAGATTACAGCCTTGGAAATCCTAAGGGGCTGTTCTGCTCTGTCGTGTGGTTTTGCTATGAGTTGGAATCAATTCAACAGCAGTGGGTTTGGATGCTGTGGATGGTTTTACAAAATATTTCTATTGCGAAGACGTTAGAAATCATCATTTCAGAGGCTTAAAAATAAAAGCTTATGGGCAATTTTAAGGCTTTTCACCATCATTATTCTAAAAGGTCACACTCTTTAATTCTTACTTATTGTATGGAAAATCATTAATATGTAAGTTTTCCTGGGATTTTTGGGTTTTAGTACATATTCACCTTTCTAATTAGATGAAGGATATTTATCACAAACTTAGTAGTACACATTCCTTGCACTTACAGGTCCACTTCACACTTTCTTCCTACACCCTCCAGTGCTCTTCATTCACTAGTGAGCCTGGTGTCCTCACAGTTCTTAGAACACTGTGCTCAGTCTCACCACTCTGGATTATCATCCTCTACTAAATATGTAAAGATCTGCTCCATCCCTCAAGGCCTGGCTCTAATCTCACCTCCACAAAGCTTTCCCTGCTTTATCCCATAAGCTCTTACCCTTCTCTGAGCTGCAATTTGATTTCAACTGGAACTTCTGGGTAGAAGTGTGGTGCAGTGAATTACTTGGTATGGCGAGGTGCTTGTGGCCCCCAAGGGGATTGGATAGTTAGCTAACAGTGTAAATAAAGTACATTCACACTTGTAGGGGTGGAACCATGCAAAAAAGGTATATGGAACCCTAATGTGGGGATTGGTTAGTTTTGTGTCACCTAGGCATAAAATGAGCCCTCCTAGAGGCAAAAGGAGAGATCTCACTGCCATCAAGAGAGAACAGCTGAAGGTGGAATGGAGAGCATCCTTGGACCCAAGATACCTGTGCCGGACCTCCTTGGTGGAGAGATGGCTGAGAAGACCAGCAGAGATGACCACCTGAGGCAACCAGCTGAGATGATAGGCTGAGGAACCAAGAGGCATGAGACAGAGCAGTCGGCCTGCCAGCCCACGGAGCTAGAAAACTGAGTGCCTTTGGGCAGGAAGCTTGCTGGAGGAGTATGGTACATTTTGGGAGCTCTGGTAGCATAGTGGCTAAGGCACTTGACTGCTAACCAGAAGACTGGCGGTTCAAACCCACCAGCCACTCCTCAGAAGGAAGGTTGGGCAATCCTACTTCCGTAGTGATACTGCCTTGGAAACCCAAGGAGGGGTTGCTATGAGTCAGGGCTGACTCGACGGCACATAACAACATTGGGAGAGCTACAAGAGCTTTGTAACACTTGTCTGAGCAGGACAGATGCAAGACTGACAGGGGTACCTGAGGGCATAGCAGAGGGGAGACTGTCTTGATCAAAGAATTGTGTCCTGAGTGCATTTCTGAACCTGAATTATAGCCTGTCACTTCCCTAATAAACCCCATGATTGTGAGTATTGTCTATGAGTTCTGTGTGGCCATTGCAACAAATTGTCAAACCCAGCAGAGAAGTGGTGAGTGCTATGGGAGGGGATGGTTGGTCTAAGAATTGGTAAAAAGGCTGGAGGGTGGTGGTATGTATGGTGTCATAGGAATAAGCCATGGGCTGTTGGTGGTGACTCTGTTTCCCACCCCCCCTTGTGAGGTTGGAGGAGGTCAGAGAAAGATGCCACCTCCACGCCCTTTTTGCAAGAAGATAGAGGGTAACAATAGTAATAACAGAAAAACAATGTGTACATGTTCACCAATGAAACTGCAAACTACTAGAGACCAGAATTCATGTTTGGTCATCTGTCAGTGTATTCCTACCAAATTCTTTACCATGCTGCTTATTGTATCATTTCTTTTCATTCCTAGAAGTGGGCCTCTGTGAACATCAGTCTACGCTCAGAAACACAAAAGAGTACAGGCATTGAAAGATCCTAGGAACCAGGAGGATGGAGTCTTTCATGGTAAAAAGCCAATGTATATAAATCATAAACCTGAATCAGCACATGGATAGTTCTTCTATAACAGCAAGAAATCTGGAGGTTTCAGCTATACCTGGCATTCTCATTTGGGTTTAATAGCCCAGTTGAATTTTCTGCGTGCTACTTTTTATTTGACCTGTGGGAAATGGTAAATCAAGAATATGCTAATCTAATCAACACAGTTAATATGAGGATGAGTAATTTTTTAAAAGTCATCTCAGTGTCATTTTGAGTCCACTTATTCTGAAATTTGACTTTTGCAGGATGGAGAGGGAGAGTGATGGGGGAGAAATAAAAACAAGCTATAGAGAAAAGGCACCTTTATTGTTAAACCTGAAAGTTCCACATTAATGCGTGTGCCATGAAATAGGCAACTGAGAGTGTGTCTTTACTGGTGGATATGTAGGGGTAGGTTCACATCCTCATGTCCTCTGTCTAGGGAAACTCTGCAAGTCTTTGGAGATTGGAGGTCAGTCTTGGCCAGTCTTTGGATCATTTTGGTCTGTGATTGTTGAGCCTTGTTAATTTCCATCCCTTTATCTCATCCTTAATGGAAGTGCTTTGGCCCCTGGGGAAGTGGGGGTTGGGCTCATGTATGCTAGAATATTTTAATATTTGAAACGTTTTAAATACATAGATGAAAAAGCACCCTCACCCCAACCTAGTGCTTTTAGCAGAGTTTCTGTTTATTATACTATATTGTTATAGTCATCTGCAGTCGTTTAGTTTCAAATTTTGAAAAAAAACCTATTCTCATTTTATAGGAGGCTGGAGCAGCAGCTTATGAGAAATCAGGTAAGATCATCTCATTCTCACTCTTGTTTCAGAAAAGTTTGGTTGAGATCTTTCCCCAGATGACAAAGGGGAATACAGAAGGTGAATGTCTCCCCTACAAGTGCTCAGGTGCATTACTGCAGGAACCATGGAGACCCCAGCACATATGTCACAAGGGGGACTGCTTCAGAAGCACTGGGGTACCAGCAAACCTGTTCTCTTAGGGCCCCCTCTAATCCTTTCCTTTGGCCTCAGATATGGGACTCATTTGACCATAGCTCTATAGATGAAATTTCCCTGGAGTGGTGACCTGTTTATAGTTCACTTGCTCAATTTAAGTGCCACATGGAACCTGTCAAATCCTATGCAGTGGTCCACTGAGATTTTCAACCAAAGTTCAGGCCAATAGGATCTGACAGCTAGTTTGCACTTCTGTTGAGTAACTGAGGCCACCAGAGTTCTTTTTACATGGCTCAGATTAGAGAAGATAGTTCAAATAAAATGTAACTAATTTCCACATTTCACCTATTTAAAGAGGCACATTTGTTTTCACATTTGAACATCTCTGAAGTAAGACTACCCTTTATCAATTGATGCAATGCTATGGTTTAATTAGCATCATTTTTCCTTTTACCAAACCAAACCCACTGCCACTGAGTGGATTCCAACTCATGGCAACCCTACAGGACAGCATAGAACTGCCCAATAGGGTTTCCAAGGCTGTAAATCTTTACAATAGCAGACCACCTCATCTTTCTGCTGTGGAGTGGTTGTTGGGTTCGAACCACCAACATTTTGGTTAGCAGCCAGATTCTTTAAACCACTGTACCACCAGAGCTTGTTTTCCTTTTACAGTGGCAGTAATAATGTTGTCTTAGACTCCATGAAATACAGTGTCACAGGCTGGGTTCTCCAGGAAACCAAAGCTGAGACAGAGTTAGGAGTGCAAAGGTTTCTTATGAAAGGAAAAGGGAGGAAGCAGAGTTTGGACAGGCAGAACCATCACATGCAATGCAAACCTGACAAAGTTCTTACCATCCCAGGATTGCCCATCAGAGGACTCCCATGTTGGGCATTAATGGTCTTTCTTAGGCACTGATAAGGGCCGCCCTGATAATGTTATGATGTTGGATCAGAAGCTGCCGGGTGGTACACCATCCGATTTGCAGCCTATACAACTATGAGACCCGAAGAACTAGATGGTGCCTGGCTACCAATGTCAACCACTTGGAGGGGGATCTATGAAGGAGATCCTGGATAGAAAGGGAGAACAATGTGGAACAAAACTCAAAATCATTTGGAGAAAAAAAAAAGGAGGTGGGGACCAGGTTTGCTGGTCTGATAGAGCCTGGTGGAACCACTGAGACTATGGTCCCTAGCTGCCCTTCAGGTCTGGAATTGAACCCATGCCTGTGGCTTCCAGCCAACAATGGACAGGTATATGAGTTGAACATTTCCCTGAGGTAGATACACTCCTTGAGAGAACAATCATGGGATAAAGAAGGGCTGTTTATGCACAGGGAGACAGCTCAGGGGGCAGGAGTGCATGGAGGGATGGACACAGGGAAGAGGTAACTATAAGGAGGAAGTGGGAGGGGAGCTGTTGCATTGTGGTAAATTGTGGTCAATGTCATGAGACAAAGTATATGTGAACTGCTGTATGGAAAGTGAATTTGCTCTGTAAATTTTCACTCAAATCACAATTAATTAATTAAATAAATAAAAATAAGATTTTACTTACATGCATATTAATGATATTGTTCGATAATTTCCACATTCTGTGGGATCACCTCTTTTTGGAATGGGTACAAATATGGATCTCTTCCAGTCAGTTGATGAGGTAGCTGTCTTCCAAATCTCTTGGTATAACCAAGTGAGTGCCTCCAGTGGGGCATCCATTTCTTGAAACATCTCAATAGGTATTCCATCAATTCCAGGAGTCTTGTTCTTTGCCCGTTCCTTCAGTGCAGCTTTGACTTCTTCCTTCATTACGTTGGTTCTTGATCATGTTCCACCTCCTGAAATGGATGGCCAGTTCTTTTTGGTACAGTGACTGTGTGTGTGTTCCTTTCATCTTCTTTTGATGCTTCCTGCATCATTCAATATTTTGTCCATAGAATATTTCAATAGTGCAACTCAAGGCTTGAATTTTTTCTTCAGTTCTTTCAGCTTGAGAAATGCCAAGCGTGTGTTCTTCCCCCTTTTTTTTTTCCCTAACTCCAGGTCTTTGCACATTTCATTATAGTAATTGGCTTTGTCTTCTCAAACTGCTCTTTGAAATCTTCTGTTCAGCTCTTTTATCTTGTCATTTCTTCTATTTGCTTTAGCTATTCTTCACTCAAGGGCAAGTTTCAAAGTCTCTTCTGACATCTATTTTGGTCTTTTCTTCCTTTCTCATCTTTTTAATGACCTCTTGCTTTCTTCATGGATGATGCTCTTGATGTCATCCCACGATTCTTCTGGTTTTTGGTCATTGGTGTTCAATGCATCAAATCTGTTCTTTAGATGGTCTCTAAATTCAGGAGGGATATATTCTAGATCATATTTTGGCTCTTGTTTTAATTGTCTTCAACTTTAAGTTGAACTTGTGTATGAGCAGTAGATTCTCTGTTCCACAATCAGCCCCTGGCCTTGTTTTGGCTGAAGATATTGAGCTCTTCCATCACCTCTTGCTGCAGATGTAGTCCATCTGATTCCTGTGTATTCCCTCTGGTGAAGTGCACGTGTATAGCCATCGTTTGTGTTGTTGAAAAAAGCTTTTGCAATGAATAAGTCATTGATCTTGCAAAATTCTATCATGGGATCTCCAGTGTTATTTCTGTCACCAAGGCCAAATTTTCCAACTAGCGGTGATTCTTCTTTGTTTCCCACTTTTGCATTCCAGTCACCAGTGATAATTTACACATCTTGATTGCATATTCAGTCAATTTCAGACTGCAGAAGTTGATAAAAATCTTTAATTTCCTCATGTTTTGCTCTGGTGGTTGGTGCATAAATTTGAATAACAGTGGTATTAATTGGTCTTCCTTGTAGGTGTATGGATATTATCCTATCACTGATGGCATTGTACTTCAGGATAGATCTTGAAACATCCTTTGTAATGATGAATGCAACGCCATTCCTCTTCAAATTGTCATGCCCAGCATAGTAGATCATATGTTTGTCTGATTCAAAATGGCCAAAACCAGTCCATTTCAGCTCACTAATGCCTAGGATATCAATCTTTATGCATTTCATTTCATTTTTGACAACTTCCAATTTTCCTAGTTCATACTTCGTACATTACATGTTCTGATTATTAATAGAGATATTTGCAGTTGTTTGTCCTCAATTTGAGTCGTGCCACGTGAGCAAATAGAGGTCCCCAAAATACTTTACTTTACCCCTATCAGTAAGATTGGTTCTACTCTGATGATGCAGCTCTTTCCCAGTCATATTTGGAGAGCCTTCTGACCTATGGGGCTCATCCTCCTGCCTGTATCAGACAGTGTTTCTGGGCTATTCATAAAGTTGCACAGTAATGTGTCAGACAGTATTTCTCTGACATTCATAAGGTCTTCCCTGGCCAATTCTTTGAGAAGTGGATGGTGTTCTGGTTACCTAGTGCTGCTCTGACAGAAATATACCACCAGTGGGATGGCTTAAAGAAACAGGAGTTTATTCTCTTACAGTTTGGAGGCTAGAAGTCCGAGTTCCAAGTGCTAGGCTCTAGGGGCTGTGTGAAAGCCCCTTGACCTTGGGCTTCAGCTTTGCCTCTTGCTCCTGGCCCACTAAAGCTAGAAGCATCTCTTCACTCAGGCAGCTACTGGCTGCTGAGGCTAACAAGCCCAAGGTTGACAAATAAAATGGCATAGTCCCAATGTTACCAAACAACATGACAGGACATTGATTCAAATCCACTGAAAGTCCCAAGATCAGCAGGGCATGGCAGGCTGTTGAACAATGACTTCGCTACATGCAGGGTTTAAGTATTCCATAAGCTAGAGACCATTCCCAAAGCTGCTGCTTATTGGGAAGCACACCACATCCCTAAAGCAGCTACTCAGCTGCTTGTGGTAGATCCCACCATGGGGTTGATTGCCAGTCTTATCATGGGGAATAACTACCAGCAGCTGACTAGCCACTCAACCAGGCCCAGGCAAATTGACACACAGCTTTAAGTACCACAGATGGCCTCTTCCTTCTTGCTAGTCTGTCTCAGTCTATAAGCTGTGTTGAAACCTGTGGACCGTGTGCAATCCTGCTGTCATTTGAAACACTGGTGTCACAGCCTCAAGCCTCACAGCAACACACAAGCCACCACAGTATGACAAACTGACAGACAAGTTTGTCTCCCTTAGCTGTTCAAAATCTCTCCACCCTCGCCTTACCTGGGTCCCTGCTGCTGCTCACTCTGTCCTCCCCTGGCTTTTCTTTCCCCCGCTTTCCTGCCTCTTGGGGGTGGGGCCTGGGTCCCTCCCCTTACCTGGATCCCTGCCGCTGCTGCTTGCTCTGTCATCCCCTCTGTTGTCTCCCTTAGCTGTTTAGATGTTAGCTCCCTTAGCAACTAGTTTCCCAAATAAACTACTTTACTCAAACCCTTGTGTCAGGATCTGCTTCTAGGAGAAACCAAACTAAGACAATGACAAAATCAAAAGAGTTACGAGTAAAGCCTCCATATATATTTGACTCATAATTAAATCTTTTCTAATACTTGTTCCTTAAGCATGGGCTGTCTCAAACTCACCATTTTTACATGGATTCTTAAAAAATACATGAGCTTTCCCCATACACAAGTTTCTTCCAGCCATCACTGTGTCACAGTTGCTACAATTTATTGAGTATATGCCAGGCACAAGAACTAAGCACCCTACAGGGTACCGGCCATTGAAAAGTCTTGGATAACCATGGTCTAGTTATATGTCTAGATGAGACAGAGAATCACGAAGGGCACTAGAAGAAGGTAATCTCTCTTCTGCAAATAGGAAACTCAATCTCCTGGTGTGAAATGGAACTACATTCTTTTCAGTGGAACGTTTGCTGATTATTTTATATCTTTTCTCCTTTTCCAGGAATTGACACTCTCGAAGAAAACTATAGTTGGCAAATTCAGGTTAATCACAACTTCAAAATATTTAAAAATCATGAGAGTCAGCTGTGTGAAGTCCTCCAGAATAAGTTTGGTTGTATCTCTACCCTGGTCTCACCAGCTCTGGAGAGCACCAATTCTGTGCCAGTCTTCAGAAAAATGCTGACTCCCAAGATAGAGGTATCAGTCTGGAAGGATGACCTCACCAGACATGCTGTTGATGCTGTGGTAAATGCAGCCAATGAACAACTTCAACATTCAGGAGGCTTGGCCTGGGCCCTGGTGAAAGTTGGTGGCTCTGAAATTCAAGAAGAGAGCAGAAGACTTGTTGTCAAACATGGTAAAGTACCAACTGGTGAAATAGCCATTACGGGAGCAGGTAGGCTTCCTTGTAAACTTATCATTCATGCTGTTGGGCCTCAGTGGTTAGGGATAGATGGACAGAGATGTGTTGAAGAGCTGAAAATGGCCATTACAAATATTCTAGGTTATGTCTTCTATAAAAATCCAAACATTAGGACAGTTGCAATACCAGCCATAAGCTCTGGGATCTTCCATTTTCCTCTGGATTTGTGTACAGAGATCATTGTGAGAACTATCAGTTTGTTTGTCCAACGTGATCAAGGAGTCAGTAATTTGAAAGAAATTCACCTGGTGAGCAATGAGGACCCTACTGTTGCTGCCTTTAAAACTGCTTCAGAAAGCATCCTAGGAAGGAACGAGTGGGAATCCTTGGTAAGTCAAGAAGCCCTGCCCCTCCTTTTGTTGCTGTCCTACTTAAGTAGTGCTGCTATAACAGAAATACCTCAAGTGGGTGGCTTTAAAAAACAGACATTTATTTTCTCACAGTGTAGAAGGCTAGAAGTCCAAATTCAGAGCACTGGCTGTAGGGGAAGGCTTTGCCTATGGGCTCTGGGGGAAGGTCCTTATTTGTTCAGCTTCTTTCCTGGTTCCTTGGAGATCTCCATGTGGCTTGGCATCAGTCTTCCCCTATCTCTTCTTCCTCACTTGCTTGTTTAATATTTTTGTCTGAAGAGACATTGACTTAAGACATATCCTAAATTTATCCTGCCTCGTTAACGTAAAAGACAACCCATTCTCAAAGGGCATTATAACCACAGGCTTAGAGACCAGGATTTACAACACATATTTTGTGGGTACAGAATTCAATCTATAACAGATACCATATTCGGGAACAACCTGACTCTTCATCTTGTCAAGGACCATGTTCTGGTTACCTAGTGCCACTCTGACAAGAATATACCACAAACAAACAGGAGTTTATTCTCTTACAATTTGGAGGCTTTAAGTCCAAGTTCAAAGTGCCAGGCTTTAGGAGCTGGGTAAAAGCCCCTCAGCCTTGGGCTTCAGCTCTGCCTCCAGCTCCTAGCCCATGAAGCTAGAAGCTTTTCTTCACTCAGACAGCTGCTGACTGCTGAGGCTACCAAGCCCAAGGTTGACAAGTAAAAAGGCACAGTCCCAATGTTACTAAACCACATGGCAGGCCATTAACTCAAGTCCATCGTAAGTCCCAAGGTCGGCAGAGCATGGCAGGCTGCTGAACAACGACATGGCTACATGTAGGGTTCAAGGTGCCATATGCTTGAGACCATTCCCAAGGCTTCTCCTTAAATACAGGAAGCAGACCACATCCCTAAGGCAGCTACTCAGCCGCTTGTGGTAGATCCCACCATGGAGTTGATTGCCAGTCTCATCATGGGGAATAACTACCACCAGCTGCCCAGCCACTCAACCAGGCCCAGCCAAGCTGACAAACAAACTTAACCCCACACCTGGTGATCTGCTCCAGTGAAGATCTGCAACACAGAAAACCCTATGGGGCAGTTCTACTCTGTCACCCAGGGCGGCT